CCCCCCGGGGCATCTTAGATAATCTATTTAATAGTCATTTCAAGCTCACCTTATCTCCTGTCGTAGCCATGGTGACCAGCTCAAACTAAATATATTCACAGAATTACAATATCATTAAAATATCAAAATCCTTATTTGAAAAGAACAATTTAAAAATTATCATGTTAAATAAATCCAGAACTTTGGAGACGCCGTAACAATTTATAAAACTAGGCTTACAGGGCGCTTGCTTCTATTTCAATTTTGAACATTTTCTCTTTGTATACATTGTAAAACAAAAATAAAAACAAAAAAGTTGGCCGATTTAATATTTTTTTTGTATTTTCAAAATTTAATGACTATCAAATTTAACTTGAGGTTAACTTTTGAAATTTTGATCGTTCATAAACATGTCAAGTTTGTGAGATCTCATACAAAATTTGGGCCCGATCGGGTTAGCTGTTTTGACGTTTTTGAATACAAAAAAACCAACAGACAAACAAAGTAAATATATAATTGTCATTTTCTAAACCTACTGATAACAGAATGCTGAAAAATCTCGTTTTTTTAATAGATTAGTTGTATGGAGCTTTTTAAAACTGTTCCCGCATATTTCAAGGCTATTTTTTTACAACTACTGAAATTTAGCTGTAACAGTAAATTATCCAGTGAAAAATGTCAAGACAACATCTTATAAATTCTTTCGATGTGTCCGAATGATTCCCCCACGTAAGATTAAGAATCTCATTGAAATTCATTTATAATACAGTGAAACCCTCAATAACGAATACATCGAAAGAATTCATCAAATGTCGTATTCTTCACTTTCTGATAATGGAATGTTGCAGATATTTATTTTTTTAATTAAATGATTATATGGAACTCTTTAACACTGTCCCCGCATATTCATGGCTATTTATTTATTTTCGCAGATACTCAAATTTACGTAATATAGTATAAACTCATTGAAAAATTGTCAAGACGACATTTGATAAGTGTATTCGTTATTAAGGGTTTCACTGTATATATGTATATGAACACTTTAAAAAGAATTGTTATTGTAAGTATTTACCTGAATTTCGGGTCTAATCTTCTGTAGAAGTGAAATCACATATTTAGTTTGAATTAAAGCAAGTTCACTCTTTCTAGACCCGACCCTTAGTAAACTTCCTTCACCAGCCATTTTTACTTGAGATTACACCTGAAATACAATCAAAGACATTTTAAAATAAATTTACTGAAACTAAGCCACTGTTAAAAGACAGAAACAGAACAGGCATTTTCCCTTAACATTTTAAAAATTTATCAGAAAGAATTAAATAAAAAACGGGAGTTGTAATATCAGAAAAGTCTGTTAACCAACTTCCTACATCGAGATATTAGAACGGAACTTGGTTATTTATAAATATTGTTTTGTTGAAAATAGTTTAAACCTAGGTCATGTACAAAATTTAAAGGANTGGTTATTTTATAACTTCAACTTTAGAATTTCCATTTATAAAAAATGAAATACTTAAAAATCACAGGATACTGTTATATTTCACTTAACACTTATCAAGCAACGGTAAAATATCAATTAATTCAGTTACTTATAGTCGTGTTGGATTTTCTTAATCTGTTTTCTTGAGTCATATAAAATAATTCGCGGTATTCATCATTTCGTCTTCCATACAGATTTAATCAACAAATCGATTAAATTTTTTTTTTTAACTTCTGTTTTTTTCATCACAAGATTAAATTCAATTGATTAAAAATTTCTTTATGAAATTTAAAAAAATTAGAAAGAATCTTAATTCAGCCCGAAGCAAGCTTGAATCAAAGGTTTATTTTCTTTTTCTTTTAATCAATCAATCAATAAAAAAAGTTCACCGTTTCCCGCGGCTTTTGCAACATTTGCGCTTTCAGTTCCACTGATACTTTGTTTTGAAATTAAGTTATAGTTATAATTATAGTTAATTCTTTTATTTCTCATCATTCTCTAATCTCTACAGTCAACGTTAAGAATTACACTACTTACTTAACACATTTCCAATGGTTATCATTTTATGTTCCTAATTATATTCACAAATACCGTGCTCTATAAGAATTATGTTGTTTGCGTGTTTTTTAATGTTATTATCATTTCTCCGTAAGATGGGTTGGAATTAAGTTTCTGATAAATAGCAAACGACTAGCCGCAGCGCTCGGCCCAGAAAGTGTCTTAACTAACCTATACCTGTGGCCGCAGCGCTCGGCCCCCTAGCCCATCCTAGCCGCAGCGCTCGGCCCAGAAAGTATCTTAACCTAACCGAACCCTAAATAACAAAAAAATAAATAATAATAAATTTGCTGAAAAATAAATGGTCATGTACTTAATAGATAGGAGGGGGGCCGAGCGCTGCGGCCACGGGTAGGTTTAGTTAAGACACTTTCTGGGCCGAGCGCTGCTGCTAGGAGAGGCTAGGGGGCCGCGCGTTACGGCCACATGTCTTACATTTAAGATTCAAGTCATTTAAGATCCATGTACAAAATTGACAGGGTGGGCTGGGGTGGGGGGGGTCTAAAAATCGTTCTCTAGGAATATACCAATCAGTTTTAAGATAGAAAAAGAGGGAATGGGACAGGGACTATCGAAACACTAAAATCCCTGTGATTGCTCACTGCACATTACTGTTTATTGTTTTCAGAATAATGATCTTCAAAATGGTTTTACACCCGAGACATTTTTCATCAAAACTCAATATTTCCAGTTTTCGATATTTAAGCAGTGAAAACATTGTTATAAATAAGATTAACTATCCACGTGATGAGTTTACTAATGTCACACCTCGGATATTGTCACATTTAGACCGACGTCTTCATTTACAGCCCTGTCATCCCCTTTGGTAAGCCAATTTTCTAAACACGGGTATATATATATTTTTGATGAATAAGCGATGCTAAGCCAATTTGGTAAGCCAATTTTCTTGATGAATAAGCGATGCTCTGGGGAGCAATTCACTTTTATTGATACTCTCAAATTTATTTGTTTTCTCCGAAAAAAAATCTCTTAATACAGCAATATATAACAACTGGGGGGAAAAGGGGGGGGGTAATGATTTTTTAATAAAATAAATATCCCCATGTTGAAATCTATATAAGAAAGCTCTTCGCTCATACACATATGTTTATATGTTAGATGTTTTGCTAGCTTTAGCTGGGCAAACGGCTGGCCCAAATTGGCAGGCATTTTTTAGGGAACCGATTTTTCCCCAGTGTTTTTTAAATTCTGTTTTATGATGCTTGTTATTGAAAAATTTGTCCCAGCAATCGAACCTAATATTTAGATTGAAACATTAAAAAATATACTTAAGTTAAGAAGATTAGGTAATAAACACGGTTACCTGCAACTGTTAAGACTGAAAGGACGACCTAGAACTAGGAATTACTCTGAGCTTAAATGTTCATTAACATTCAATGTTAAAGATGAAATAAGTTTAAATCTTGAGCAAAGACTCAATCTTTGCGGTTAACTAAACATTTTACCTATATTACCATTAACATTTATTTAATACACAGAGTGTAATCAAATATAAAATGGTGTTCTTATAAAACAGGGGGATGATAGTTCTCTGCCTGTGTGTTCAGTTAACTGTACTGTACACTTACAACTGTTTACTAATATTGACATACTATAGGTTAGGCCAGAATCAACAAATAAGCAGTACGCTCTCGGTATAGTTTATGGCCTATAAAATTAGTAACGGATTAGCGTACATCATCACTCTAGACACAATAACCTCGTTGTTATAAAAAGTTTTTGAAAATGTCGTATTGAAGAATTGTTCACATATAAATGATTTTGTACAGAAAACAAAAAACAATTTATGATATAAAACAATTTAAAATATAAGATAAATGCTTTTTTAGTATTTTAAAACAAATTTGTTTAGCTTAATCAAAGAGAGAATAGTGGAGTATGTTTACAAAAAATTCGGCAACAGTCGGGGAAACCCTCTTTTTTCAATCATTGATCAGGTACAGTCGGGGCATCCCTCTCTTTTCAATCATTGACTAGGTACATTCAATTAATTTTCAGGGATAATATTCAGATAGATTTTAAATCATGTTAACTATTATCATATATTGTTTACCGTTTTTTTCTATACATATCATTGCTTTAATTTAGGGTTGGTATTCTGCTTTTTCCTTCAATGTTTTTTTTTACCAAAAAAATCCGATCTTAAATAGTTGATTTAATATTTACGATAAATTTTTTATTTAGCTGAATCCTGTTGTGAATTTAACACAGAATTTTGATAGTTTACTTGTGCCGAAGGTAAGAATCATTGATAATAATGTAAATAAAACAATTCAGCATTAATCATTGTTAACATTATTATCAGGCCAATAAATGAAATTTCATGCAATGTAATCAATGTAAGAAATTTTAACAATATTTTGAATTAAAGGCAATGTAATCAATGCAAAAATACAATTGATAAAAAGCAATATATGAAAATATAAACAATGTAGTTAATGTAAAAAATATAAGCAATATATATTAAAAGAAATGTAAAAAAATTTAAACAATATTTGCAACAAAAGCAATATATAGAATTATAAGAAGGTTATAAAATATATGTCATGTAAGAAATGTAAGCAATAAAAGCAATGTAGATAATGTATGGAATATAAACATTTTGTTAAGGATCACGTGAGTAGGAAAAGGTCTGACAGCTATTATATTAACAGGAACAAGGCTCTTTTCAAATAAAAGATGACATTTTTTGTTTTAATCAATCAAGTGGCGGAGGACTTTCTTCTTGTAGACCCTTAGTTACATAAAGTTACATTATCCTTGTAAACATCTGGAATCGGATGAATTTCAGACGTTTGTTTAATGTTTGTTAGTCTGTTCAGAAAAGTATAAATGAGATATCAATTTCTAGAAAAGCCTTTTGTCCTTAAAATTTCTTTTCTCTTTAAAAACCCCCCAATCTGCCGCTGGATCCCAGGATTTTTAATCAATGATCATTCAAACCTCCAATATAATTTCCTCACTAAAATTCTGTTTTTTACTCCGAGATGTTATCTTTTTCCAAATTTAAAAAGATATAAAAAGTATTTGAAAACACATCATGAATGAAAATGATGGGACATCGGACATGGTTTGGGATGTAAACAAATTATAACACCAAAAATTTAATTATTATAATTATCATTTTATCTGAATTGTTGTGCTAACCAGATGGTGTTGGTCTGAGTCGGTTAGCTGGGTTACCCCGGGGTGAATCTATTCAACTATTTGAGAATGGAGATAAGACAGCATACAAGCAGGCGGTACATACACAAGACGCAGCAAAAATAATGGAAGGTAGGTATTCACTGATACAGGGTTAACCACAAAGGATGAGACATTAAAGGGACTGTAAGCCAGGGTTCCCCCCCCCCAGAGCAAATTTGGGTCAGAAACTGACCCAACTGACCTGCCACTTTCAGATTTGGAAAACAACTATGCCAGTTAGGAGAATAATAGGAGAATAAAAGTAACAGAAGTAAATGCCAATTTCAGCCAAAAAAAAATTTTTATAAAAAGATCTGCCATAAAGTGTGCCACAAAAATGTTTCGGCATGTTAAATCTGACACACATGCAATTGAAAATCAGAAGTTCTGTCAAAAACAAAATTAAATGTTTTAAAATTTGCCGCACAAATCATAAATGAGCTTAAAATCTGCCACAAAATTATGCTAACACATAACAAATACAAAAAGGCAACTTTTGTTATCATGCAAACACAAAATATCTTCTCTATAGCTTGTAAGAGAACCAAGACATGTTTTGCAAAAAAGAAAAAGACATAATATCAATCTAAAATTTTAAGTGTAACTCCATGCAAAGACGGCAAAGGCCTATTCACAACGGTACCCTTGAAACCTTTATATGATCAATAATTTATGGAAGATATTGTCGTTTTTCTAGGTTTAATAGTGTTTTAGTTCTGATAATTCCTTAATGCTTTCCTGCAGTAGAAATGCGCAAGTCTTTTTTTGTAGAGAACCCATAATTGATAATAATCAGTTGTCAAAACTATAAACATTGATATGTAATTCATACTTGATAGACAACGCTTTCTAAGGTACCGTTTTGAATCGGGCACTGCCATCTTTGCAAGGAGGATCACTTGAAATTATGCTTACAGTCCCTTTAAGGGCGACTAAACGGGAATCTTTTCCCTTTATTCTTCGTTCCCTACAACCAGAAGCTGTTAAATAATTGAATCAAGTTTTTTGTTCAGTTGATCTGAAAGACTGCTTGACAGGACTTGCCAAACATTTGTTTGGAGATAAAATAGAATTTCGTTGGGTTGAATGCTATTTTCCCTTCACACATCCATCCTGGGAACTAGAGGTCAGAACAATTAATATGGTTGAACATCTTTTTAATGTCCAATTTACAATTGAAACGTTCATCTGATCAAAACTGTGGAAGATAACGTCGTTTTCTGACTTGTAAAGTGTTTATTTCCTTGAATTTCTTCAGTGTTTCTTAATACATGGGATATTAGTTCCAAAACTAACACTTGGCCCATTTCTAACATATTCATATTTCATAATTCATATCAATGTCAATTTTCAAGTATTTACGCACTAATGAAACAAAACAAGATTTTTTGACAGGGTAAAATATAAACAAAATAGGAAGTAAAAACAAACTGTTCTTTTATAATTTAAAAATCATTACAGCATTGAGAAATCAAAATATTAATATCATTTGTTCTGACAATATAGATTTAACTAGAAATGCAGGAAACTGATTGTTTAAAATGCTTGAAAATAAATCATCCATATTTTCTAATTTAATAGATAAAATGTGGAAACTTAGATTCTAGAAATAATTCAGAAGTTAATTTAGTCTTCACAAGATAAATTTAGTTTTCAGTGAAGTATTTTGTAAGTTATGAAAGTGAGTTTTGTTTTGAATTGTGGATTATACAAAATTGAAATTACTTCTACAGTCGATTTAAGGCCAACAAGTTTCAGTTTGATTATTCATTTCCTTATTTCATGCTCCAATAATTTTCGAAATTATTCGCGATAAGAAACTTTGAGTTTTCCTTGTCTGGTCAGCACTCAGCATGGTATTTTCACGCCGACAGACAGAGATCCTTTAAGGTGTATTTTTCTCCGATGCTCATCCAATCACTAGAATAAAAACCAATTAATGCCTCCTTTCCAAATTCACGAATACACCTTTAAAGAAAAATGATTTAGGTTTATTATAATGACGACTGGCTGGAAGTTCTTGGATGTGGTATAATGGAACAGGAGATTCTTGCTTCAGCGGGGGTCCAGGATAAAATTGGGTGGGCGTTCGGGCTAGGTTAGGTTTATTTATTGAACAATACAGGGGGGAGTTAAGTGACGACGTATATCCCTTTTAATCTTTAAAAATTGCTGGTAATGGATAACTAGAACTGAACATTTTACAATTGTGAAAATCAAGATCAATGATTGTTCTCATCTTTTTATTAATCTTTAGACTAACTAAATTTTACGTTAATATCCAAGAAATTTTCTAAACAGCAACCAATCATAGTGTTGATTGTAGAAAACGAGGCCGAATTTAAAGAATTTAAGCCGCAGTTTAAATTTAAGCCGCCGCCCAAATATGGTTGGTTCCACTTAAATTTGTATTACATTTTTCAAGATTTAAGCATGCGGTCAATTTAAACCGGTTTTTGAAGGATTTAAGACGTGGCTTAAATTCATTAAATTCGGCCGAACAGCCAGAAATTAAAAATTTTTGCCAATTAATCGATAAGAGAACTCTCATTGGTTCGAAAAAAAGCAGTGATATTCAAAAGATAGGATAAAGCAGACAATCAAAAGTGTCAAAAACAGATACAGAGATTTAACATTCGGGATTAAGGGTATCCACTTCAAGAGTTTTTAGCTCTGAGGTCATTTTAAGTACTTTTGAAATAAAGTGTTTGTGACTATCCTAAAGTTTCTCTGCCAGAGTCTTTTGATCCTAAACTTACTAGTTTCTTAATTCAAAATAGAGCTAGGATGTATATGTATAGTATTCACCCGTCTACAAGCCGATGATGAATTTCAATTCTAAGGCTGACTACGAATGTAGATTTATAATCAATTAACCTTTTGAGTGGAGAATCGTTAATCTCGATATCTAATGTAGGCAACTTTTGAGGATAAATGCTTGACGATTAATTTAATATTATCCCTGCAGAATATGGCCACCACAGCATATTGAAAATAATCTAAATTAATCGTAGGTCTGCATTTTCATATTTTTTTTAATATGAATAGTTCTAGTTCATAGAACTTGTTTTATGAAGATTTTATAAAATAAAGAAATTATAGAAATAAAATTCATTCTTTTTTAAACATTTTAATAGTCATTGAAGGTTACCATTATTTTTACATTATTTAGTCTCCTTTTGATTATTAATTAGTTTGAATTATACATTCATCATAATTTTGTTGTTTTATTTTTTGTTATTTATTTTTACAAACATTGAATTTTTTTTATTTTCAGGCTTAGAGCGGTTAGCGATGGTATTATATGGTATATCTGATATAAGGTAACAATATTAATTTTATTTTACAGTTTAGTTACATAGCTCTTTATTATTGGGATAATAGAAGAAGTTCAGAAAGAGGATGGGGGTTGAGCCCGTGGTGGGGTAATTATTTGATGAAATAAACATTGTAAGGTCCGATGTTAGTGGGAAAAAATGTATTAAACAAGAAGAAATATTCATCACGGGTAAACACAAAAATGTAAAATTAGACTCAGTTGTTTTGTAGACATATTTTTCTCAAAAGTCCTTACATTTCATCCTTCTCAAAATTTTTGTCTGAAACTTTAAAGATTCTAAAATAAAACTAGTTTTTTTCTGGCTTTTACTTTTTCTCTACATAATAAGTTTGAACTATAGCCTCAAATAACTTTATTTTATTTTTCAGTTAATGCAAGTGCATTCTTGTATTTGTGTATAGGGGGGATTA